CTTTTTGTTTGCTTGTTTTGGGTCTTTGATGCCTGATACCTGATGCCATTGATACCTCATGATCACACAGGTTGGTGTGCTTCTTCCATGTGGACTTTGTTGCTTCTTAGTCATATGGCCACTTGTTTATCTTCAAGCCTTTAAGACCCCTGATGCTATATCTTTTTATAGCCAGGCACCATCAGCTTTCTTCACCACATTTGCTTATGCACCCATTTTGTCTTCAGTGATCACATCAAGGAAGGTAAATCTCACAGAGTGCCATGTTAGTAAAACCAACTGTTCTTGCATTGAGGGAGTACTTGAATGGAGGCCCAATGTCCATCTCATGCTCATCATATATTCAGCTGAAATAAATAAAGACAAACTTTAAGCCTTAGTTACAATATTGAAAGAGTCTATGGGTAATATATTGACTAATGCAAGAAACATCAAAAGAAGATGGGATCAATACATAGTCATTGTACCAAAAAGAACTAGTTGACATTCCCCCATTTCAGGAGATAGCATATCAGCAAGAACCAATAGTAACGAAGGAAGAAATTCAAGCTGTACTAAGTCTTAGCAAAAAACAAGGCTCTAGGAATTGATGGAAAACCAAATAAAATGTTTCAACAAGCTGATGCAGCACTGGTACACTTATTCATCTAAGCATCTGTACCCATTCTAATAAAAGGATAGAATTAATTTGTCCAATAGAATGCACAAATTATATAACAATATCATTGATTTCACATGCAAATAAAATTTTGCATAAGATCACCCAATAATGGTTGCAGCATTACATTGACAGGGAACTGCCAGAGGTTCACGCCAGATTCAGAACAGGATTTAGAACAAGGAATACCTATCATTGCTGGTGTCAGATGGATCTTGGCTCAAAGGAGAGAATAGCAAAAATACGTTTACTTGTGTTTCATTGACTATGCCAAGGCATTCAACTGTGTGGATCATAACAAACTGGATAGCCTTGGGAAGAATGCAAATACCAAAACATTTCATTGTGTGCATGCAGAAACTGTACGTGGATCAAGAGACAGTTATGCCAACAGAACAAGGAAATACAGCATAGTTTAAAATCAGGAAAGTTGTGTGTCAGGGTTGTATCCTCTCATCATACTTATTCAATCTATATGTTGATCAAATAATCAAAAAAGTTGGATCATGTAAAGAAGAATTCAGCGTGACTACTGAAGGAAGGCTCACTAACAACCTGTGACAGGTAGATGACACACCCTTGATGCTGAAAGTGAGGAGGACTTGAGGCACTGCCTGATGAAGATCAAGGATTGTAGCCTTCAATATGGATTCCAACTAAGTGTAAAGAAAACTATAATCCTCACACTGGTCCAATAGGTAACATCAGGATAAATAGAGACAAGGTAGAAATTGTCGAAGATTTTTTTCTTACTTGGATCCACAATCAATCCTCATGGAAGCAGTAGTCAAGAGATCAAAAGATGAGTTGCATAAGAACTGTCCTAAGGGCAGTTACAGGAGGGCATTCCATTGTGATGATAAAACGCAGATTGCCTTGGGCATGACAAAGGCCTGCCAGAGGAGAGGAGGGGGGTTTTCCCTTAGCCTTCTGGTCAATTAAACAAATGAAGTGACCTAACCTTGTCTATTTTTCTCTATCATGATCTGTTTATCCCCTCGTGGAACATTCTTTGAGGTGTACCTAAGATGTCTTCCATTCTAGGACTGTATTCATTATGATACAGGTTAACTGCCAAAATTACGGTGGTTATCGGCATAATAGTGTATTTCTTGTTTTTGCCACACTGCAAAGTGAAGTATGGGTAGGGAGAAGATTGCTTGACATAGTACTTGAGGGACCAAGGTCTTTCTGTCTGTTAACTGTATTTTCCTTCAGGGCCTGGTTGTTCTACCTATCATCTTATAAGACAAGAACTTAGAGCAACAGACAAAAGGAATTTGGGTAGAACGCAATTACATGGCCCTCATCTAATTGAAAAAGATCATCGGAAATGTTGTCTAGAATATTTGAGACTTGGTGAAACAAAATAATGTCTCTTTGACTGAGACTTTTTGAGGTCCATACATGTGTGGCACTGTTGTTTTTCCAAATTACCATCTTCTGTTTTTCACAGATATTTTGAACACCTGGAAGGAGTGTATTTTCACTTCCTCTTCTATTAAGGGCTTTCCCTAAGTTTTCTGTTCCATCCTGAAGGGACTTCAGTGTTATGGATTGATTAGTCAGTACATGAATTTAAGGGTTAAAGAAGTAAAAATCATATCAATGTAGTCCTATATATTAACCACATTA